AATTTCTTTACGTCATTGGAGCTAATTCACCATTTGCGTCAAGAATACGGTATTTTTAGTCTTGGTACCATAAAAAGTAATCGTTTGAGAGGTTGTCAAAATAAACTACTAGCAGATAAAGTTCTCGCAAAAAAAGGACGGGGTGCAAGCTCCCAGATCGTCTGCAATGACACGAAACTTGCTGTTGTCAGATGGTATGACAATAAGCCGGTGACATTGGCTAGTTCATTCGTCAATTCCCATCCAATGGGAAAGATTCAAAGGTATTCCAAAGATACAGAATCTAGGGTGGAGGTCAATTGTCCTCAGATTGTGAATCAATATAATGCCCATATGGGGGGCGTAGACTTGGCGGACATGCTTATCGCTCTATACCGTTCAAACTTTAAAACTAAGAGGTGGTACATGACCATGTTTTCACAATCTCTGGATATTTGCGTCAACAATGCTTGGTTATTACATAGGAGAGATCATGCTGATCCTAAAGACCGTTTACCTCTCAAAAAATTTCGGATACAGATAGTATCTGAGCTTTTACATAAAAACAGAACGAGGGTGACAGTGAGTCAGGAAAACGATCCTCCTAAAAAAATAATTACTCCAGCTGCTCCAAGACCGACTGATGCTGTACGAAATGACAACAATGGACATTTACCCATGTTTGTGTCGTATGGACGGTGCAAATACTGTAAAAATGGGTACACAAATATTACTTGCTCAAAATGTATCCTCAGGCTGTATCTAGTTAGTAAGAGAAACTGTTTTTATAATTACCATGTTAAGTAATAATATGTGAATTTGATTTTTTCTACTAAGGCTGTGTCTAGCCAACTTATTCTATGATTAATTAATAAGAAATAAAACTTTATTTGATTTTCTCTATAGTTTGTTCTTTTATTTTAATATATTAGTAAACTACCTTTACAAGGGCAATGTTGAAAATACTCAACGCTCAATTTATTAGGTAATGTTCCAATATGTCGCGCAATGTTGAGTATTTTTAACATACTATATTTTATAAAGTATACAATAATAATAATAATTTCTATTTTTTTTTGGCTATAATTAGTCAACATTAATGCAATTAAACAGAAAAAAACATGTTTACATAACTTTTATTTTTCTGCGCATTAAAGGGTTAACAAAGTAATCGGACATAATTTCCGCGAATGGAGCAAATCGAGCAGCGTGCCGTCATTAAGTACCTCCATAAGAAGGGCTATCATCAAAAGCCATCCATGATGACATGGTCAGTACATTAGGCGATTGTGCTCTGTCATATTCATCCGTCAAAAAATGGATAGCAGAATTTAAGCGTGGTAGAGAGAGTGTGAAAGATGAACCCCGCTCTGGAAGGCCTTCGACGTCAACTACTGACGAAAATATTAAAAAAAGTACTTGATTTAATAATGGGAGACCGCAGATTAAAAATTAGAGAGATAGCCGAGATTATAGGCATCTCTTATGAACGAACTCAAAACATCATTGTCAACGAGTTGGGTTTCCACAAGGTGTCTGCGAGGTGGGTTCCGCGACTGCTTTCAGTTGAACAAAAAAGGACGCGATTGACTATTTCACGCGACTGTTTGGAGTTATTTGTAGCCGATGCAGATGATTTTTTGAATCGTTTTGTTATTATGGACGAAACATGGGTTCATTACTGTACACCGGAAACAAAACAACAATCAAAACAGTGGAGAAGACCTGGTTCACCACCCCCTAAAAAAGGCTAAGTCGATTTTGTCGGCAAATAAGGTGATGGCTTCAGTATTCTGGGACTCGAAAGGTGTGATTATGATTGATTATCTTGAAAGGGGTCAGACTATAAACTCTGATTACTACTGCACCTAACTACGTCGTTTACGAGAGGAAATAAAAGAAAAACGTCGAGGAATGCTCAGAAGAAAAGTCCTGTTTCATCAAGATAACGCCCGTGTTCACACGTCAGTACAGTCAATGGCTGAAATTCACAACTGTGGCTTTGAACTGTTACCGCATCCGCCGTATTCACCTGATCTGGCACCATCAGACTTCTTTCTGTTCCCTAACCTAAAAAAGCACTTGGGAGGTCAAAGATTTTCGACAAACGACGAGGTCAAAGCAGCTGTAGACGCATATTTTGACTCTAAGGAAGAATCATTTTTTTTTCGACGGTCTAAATGCTTGGAAGGGGAGGTGGAAAAAGTGTATTGAACTTGATGGTGATTATGTAGAAAAATAAAAATATAACTGGTTTAGTATGTGTTTATTTTCTTGGTTAGGCCGAGTACTTTTCAATCCACCCTCGTATTTTACCACTCAAAGTCGTTGTCACGTAAAACTTTCGCCCGTATACCGACTTTACAGGCAACCAATATTTTTTTACCAACCCAATGTCTTAATATAATAACCTATTATGTTAAATATACTCTGTTCCTTTTTTATATAATGTACAAATCAAATTCCACTAGAGGTGTAAGTGTAGAAATTGAAATTTTAGGTTTAATCCTTTGATTACTTGAAACAATGAGAATGTTAATGGGCTCTTTTTTTCCTGTGCTCTTCATATGCACGACAGAAAAACAGCCATCAGTATACACCACTTTCCGGAGAAGAAATTAAGCCTTATCTTGGTATATTAATTATGATGGGCCTAAACCCGTTGCCTGATATGGAATTATATTGGTCTAATGACCCATTCTACAACAATAAAGAGATTTCGCAAGTCACGATCATTAAAAGATCTAAGAAAATCACTGAAAATCTCCATATAAATAATAACGAAGAGGAGCCAAGAAGAGACTCGCCTAACTACGATAAACTTTTTAAGTTGAGGCCGATGATACCTGAACTTAATAAAAAAAATTCAGAAGAGATGTAAAGGGTGTCCAGTGGCAGATTTTAAACTTTGAACAGACTTAATTTTCGAACGCAACGTAGGAGAAGGGCGCGGAGGGGGTTATTCAACGCGCAAGCGATGCGGATTTTTTAGTAGCCATGGATCCGTGGAGTGGAGAGCACCGCGCTTTTGCCGTCGAGGTGTACTTTTCGAGTGGATTTTCGCTGTCTGAAGCCCGTCGTCGATTTAATAATCACTACGGTATTCGTGAGTTCGTGATGGACCATCAATCAACCAGATTCAGTCTTGGGTAGCAAGGTTTAGAGCAACGGGATCAACAATAAATAGACCCAGACCAGGAATAACACCAACGGTAGCCACGGACGAAAATGTCGAACGTGTTATGGCTTCTGTGATTGAAAATCCTCGTTTATCACTTGGTGCACGTTCATCGATTTTGGGAATTAGTAAATCAACTTTACAGGTAATAATGCGAAAAAAACTTAAATTCCATCCTTATAAGATCCAAATCGTCCAAAATTTACTCGAATCTGACTTTGAATTAAGGAAAACTTACGCAGAGACGATGTTGAGATTTAAAACTGCTACTCGGATGGGTAACATATTCTTCAGTGACGAAGCCCATTTCCATATCGGAGGATATGTAAATAAACAAAATTTTCGTTATTGGGATATTTCCAACGTGAGAAAATTGCATGAAGAGCCTTTACACAAACCAAAAGTCACAGTATGGTGTGCAATATCTGCGTCTGCCATAATAGGGCCTTATTTCTTCGAAAATGAACGTGGCCAAACTGTAACAGTAAATTCCGAGAGATATGCTGAGATGATCAGTGATTTTTTTTAGACTAGAATTACAGAATAGTCCATACTGTAACCGGAATACGTGGTTCCAGCAAGATGGGGCCACAGCTCACACTGCTAATGTGGCCATGAGTGCAGTGCGAGAGTTGTTTCCCGAAAAAATCATATCCCGGAACGGCACCATACCGTGGCCTCCCAGGTCACCAGACCTAAGTCCGTGTGACTTTTTCTTATGGGGATACTTAAAATCTATCGTTTACAAAACAAATCCGACCACTGTGACACAGCTGAAAGAAAACATTCGAGCAGAAATCAGCAAGATTCCCCAGTCGCTTTGTAAAAGAGTTTTCGAAAACATGCGTTCCAGACTCGAGGAGTGTGTTAGGGTCGATGGCCGCCATTTAGAAAACGTTGTTTTCAAAAAATAAAATCCGCCTTTATGTTCTTTATATTTTAATAAAAATACTTTGCATAAAACGTGTCGTTCTTTTTTTATAATTTTTCAAACTTTGAAATCTGCCACTGGACACCCTGTATAATTCCAGCCAGCAATCAATAGATGAATGCATGGTCAAATTTAAAGGCCGATCAAGCCTTAAGCAGTATATGCCAAAGAAACCAATTAAACGTGCTTTTAAGGTTTGGGCACGTTGTGACGCAAAAACGGGCTACCTTTATAACTTTGAAGTGTACACCAGTAAATGTGACAGCATAGAAGAAGGTCTGGGATATAATGTCGTGAACAAACTCTCGCTTGACTTGCCTGAAAATACGCTTCTAGCGTTTGATAATTTTTTTACGGGCTGTAATATATTAGAAGCGCTGTATAACAGAAAAATTTTTGCTGTAGGGACTGTAAGACATAATAGAAAAGATCTCTCAGACATTTTAAAGAAACAGCAACCAAAAAATTTGAGACTTGCAAAGAATGAGTTTGCGGCTATAGGGTCCGTTCACACAGACCGGCTCGGAGAGGAGAGCAGATTTTTATCACGTTGGAAACAGTGTTTTGAGTGATTGTAGTAAAGTTTATTTTTGCATTTGCACCTTTTTTGTCATTAAAAATGCCTGAACGCGCTTCGTGTGAAGTAATAAAAGGAGCCGACCGGCTCCGCTTGCGTGCTCTTTCTCGCTCGCGCTGCCGATCGGCTCTGATTGCGTGCTCTTTCTCGCTTGCGCAGCCTGTCGGCTCCGATTGCGTGCTCTTTCTCGCTCGCGCAGCCGATGGGCTCCGATTGCGTGCTCTTTCTCTATCGCGTAGCCGATCGGCTCCGATTGCGTGCCCGCTGCGGCCGCGCCGACCGCCATTTTGATAGCAACATTTGAACGTAATAGTTGTGCGTACTTGTACGAAAAGATGAATGATGAAAAATTAATAATACTCGTGTCAAAATATGAGTGTTTATTTGACATAACCAAGCCATCATATAGCGATCGGATAATGAAAGACAATGCATGGGAGGAAATTAGCAAATGTCTCGGAATAAGTGGTAAGTAAGGTTTTCATTGTTTTACACCTACCCCCAGATACTCAAACGAATTTTAAAGCAAGGGCTTCTTAAACTCGTGCTGCGACGTGTTAGATTCAAAGTCAAAATAGGAATAACATGAGTTTAAATGCGCCCTTACTTTAAAAACTCGTTTGAGTATCTGATCGTTAGAATATACTTATGTAGTAGACAATTTTTATTAAATATAACTTAAGAAACTCGCGTAGCCACTTGATCTTGCCAATCTAAAGCACCACTTGATGAAAAATAATCCTTAAATTTATTCCTTGTGGTTAGAACTGCGTCGCTATTAGAACTGTTTTCATTATTATTGTCTGTTATTGCTGTTAATAAATTTATATTGCTGTGAAATTCATTCTCTTGTCCTGGCGTCCGATTTTCTATTAAAAAATTATGTAAACATGTAGTTGCTAATATAATTAAATCACAGTACTTCGGCTGAATTTTCATTCGTTTTTGATAAATTTCAAATCTTTGAGTTAGCATTCCAAATGCACATTCTACGACTTTTCTTGCCCTGCTTAAACGCAGATTAAATACTTTTTTTGATAATTCTGTTCTTGCTTGTTCTCTTGGATACGGCCGCAATATATTATTGCTCAACGGAAATGCCTCGTCTCCTATAAAAACATGTGGTAAGCTTTCAGTGGTACTAGGTAGAGGTTTATTTGGGGGCAGCTTTAACTTATTGGTGTTGAGTTTTTTCCAAAATTTTGAATTCTGTAAAATTCCGCCGTCGCTATTTTTACCATATGATCCGACATCAACAATTAAAAAACTGTATTTCGCGTCGACCACAGCTAGTAACACTGTACTGAAAAAGTTTTTATAATTATAGTATAAGCTTCCACTATTATCTGGTGCCTGTATATTGACATGCTTTCCGTCTATAGCGCCCAAACAGTTAGGAAAATTCCAAATATTAAAGAAATCACGTGAAACCTTTTCCCACATTTCTTCATCTGGCATCTGCATAACTATGGGCATCAAAACATCACAAATTACTCTGATTGTCTCATGAATAATTGAATGAACTGTAGAAATTCCCATTCGAAAATTAAACGACAAGTTTTTGAAACTGCAACCAGTGATGAGGAATCTGTAAAAATAAAACAAACACACAAAATAGAAATATAAGACTGCTGTACCAAAACGAACTATAAAATAAAAAAAGAGTTATGTTATTAATTTTTCATTTCTGTTCTTTCCAGTGACGCAGTGCCAGGATCGTTGGAAGAAACTGCGAGATAACTTCAGAAAAGCCTATTATAACCGAAAAGGCAAGAGTGGCGATGGTGCAACTACGTCCAAATAGATAAAATTTGAAAAAGAACTTTCTTTTATAATACCATTTTTTCGCAATCGAAACCAAATATCTAATGTAACATTATCATCGGATGATTCAGAGCCTGGCACACCAATACCACCACCATCGACATCATCTAAACGTTCTGACCATTCTGAAGTTGAATCGCTTGCAAGTACTTCTGGCTCGAAAAAGAGACCACGCTTAAGCAAAGATGTTGCTACGGTTTTCGAAGAGTATCTTGAAGAAAAAAGAAATACTACACCCCGTGACAAGGCATTACGTAATTTTTTTTTGTCTATGTCAGATACAGTGGAAACATTCCCAAAAGAAGTCCAAGCACGAATTAAAAGGCGCGTGTTTAACATTGTTAATGAAGCTGAATTAAGTCTGTATGAAAATAGTACAGATTTGAATTATTCTTTGTCTATAAATTCACCGCCATCGACTAATCAATCTACTTACCTAGTGTCAAACGAAACCTATATTCCTCAAAACTATCCAGATCAGACTACTTACGGGTACAATACCAGCACACAAAATACAAAATAATAAACAATCAAAAACAATAATAATTATAATAATAATAATTAAACACACACAAATCTGTACTATTTAATTACATTTCATTAACGTAAATAATGCTTAATAAATGGAGGGCTGTGATTTTGTGATCTATTTAGATGTTTGTGTTATTTAACATGATTAGTATAAGTAATTTACATTTCATTAACGTAAACAATGCTTAATAAATGGAGGGCTGTGATTTTGTGATCTAAATAACATGATTAGTATAAATAATTGTTTTTTATTTACCTTAAAGTTACCGTTAACCTTTCTTCGGCTGTAATGGTGCAACGATAATTTGTAGTCTTTTTTGTTATATGTACTCTTAACAAATCTGTCAATTTCAAAAATTGCCAATATTCCATACGATAATACTCATAAAATTTTAGGCTATCTCTCTTCAATTCCTCGAAAATGGTGTGAAACTCCCCATGGATTAGTCTGTTTTTCCAAATATGTTTTACCCATATTTGTTTCCGCTTGCGCTTACGTTTCCTATGTTCTATTTCAAGTAATCTTGCTAACAAATATATTTCTTCGTCGGAGCTATCTAAATCCATGTTTCGAAAAGCACACGTTAACACACCGAAAACAAAACTTAGACTGCGCGGAATACTGGCACTGCCTTTGTAGTGTATCCACCCGACTCCGAGCGCATCCGACCGGCTCCGAGCACATCCAACCGCACCCGCTTTCAGATCTCTTCCAGCCGGTCGATGTGAAATAGTTGGCGGCTCCGCTCCGGCCAATTCCAAGCGTATACGACCCGGTCTGTGTGAAAAGAAAAAAGCAGGCCGATGCTCTCCGAGCCGGTCTGTGTGAACGGACCCTTAAAGCCCCGTGTACGAAATCAACTCATTTCGGACAAATCTGATCACTGTTTGTGTGTACAGGAAAACGAATTTTAACTTTTTTTATTTTTATTATAATAGTCTAGTTCCACTAATATCTGGCTTGAAGGGATGTAGTAGTAGTTGATAGAGCGCTGTACCTGAGGAGGGGATACGAAGAGTTTAAAACTGCGGCTGTCGTCGTGGATGAGATAACGTCCCCCCACGGGCTAGCACACCTGGGCGCATTCTGGAGCTCCCTTGTCAAAGACGCAGGCGACGGAGCTGGGGCTATCTTAATATCCATGGCCGCGCGTACAGCAGCTCGGATGCTGGGGAGGGTGGATGCTGGGCGCAGCATCAGGGGGTTCTTTGCCTCAGGGGCAACGAAACCCGTGTTCGCCTGTGCAGTAGCACGGGCTCTGATAGGCAGACTGGACACCACAAGGTTATCGAGGGAACTGGGCTGCGTACAGGAGGCGGAGGCCTTAGTGGCCATGGTAGGGCTCTGGGCGTCAAGGGAGGCCCCTGGGCTAACTATCTCCGCGGAAGGAGAAGACGAGAGGCCTGCCACTATTGAAGAAGAAAGGAGCCGGCTAGGCCAGTTGGCCGGGTTGCCGGCAGAGCAGGCCGCGACAGAGGCAGAGAGGGACGCGCCGGGGAGGCGTCTGGAGTTGGCGGTTACCGCCCTGATTGCGAACAAGCCTTTGGCTTCGCGGGCTGTCGACTCCAGAGTCTGTTTGGTGTGTCTGGCCTCTCACCTCTGTTGCGAGGAGGATACCCTAGGGAGTCAGGAAGAGGCCGAGACGTCTGGACTGACCTTCGAAGAAGTACGTAGGGCTATAGTGTCCCGGGGCGGGCGGAGCGCGAGAGCCATCGCTGTGGCGGCGGCAATCCACAACCGCGAGATGCACGCCGCCAATGGTAACATACACTTCGCCACCGGAGTGAGTGATACGCGTCTGGACACAGTGGAGCGACTTCGTAGCATGACGGAGAGAGGGGAGAGGTATAAGTGGAGGCCCGGTCGGGGGGTCGCAGACGCCCTTAGAGAGGCAGAGGGTGAGCTCCCAGTGATGACGGTGCAGACGTCGCTACTGGGGGGCTCCCAAAGCACTGCCCCACCCGCCACACAACACTGCTACTTAGGGCGGGCAGACGTGCTTATTGATGACGCAGGGGGAGAACAACCCCGGGCCCAACGCACGGGCGGGAGCGGGGGCAGGAACATCAGGAGAGAAGGAGCCCGCAGGAAAGCCTGGCCAGGTGCAGGATGCACAGGAAGGCGGCTCCGAAGACACAGGCTCTCAGGGTGAGGAAGGTACTGGTCTAAAGTACGCATGACCCTATATAGGAGGTTAAAGGGGCTGATTAAGAAGCCGACAACCAATCGGAAAAGGGAAGAAGAGGGGATCGTGCTCATGAGAGAGATGACGGCGGGGCTCCCCTCAACAACCTCCAGTCCCGAGGGTGTCGGGAGCGGCAGCACAGAGGGGGGAAAAAATTGTTGAAATAACGTAATTTCCTGAAAACTTCGTTCGAAATAAGTATTTTTTCTATTACATAGAAAAACTTTTAATTAATTTAAAAAATTGCACATTAATCTTAAGATAACCCTTTATTGGAAACTAAATTTTATTTCATAAATAAATAATAATTTCGTTTATTACTAAACGGCAAAGTGAACTATATTATCGACCGCGCAAAATCGATCCGAACAGCACTTCCGCCTGTGGCATCGCTTCCGAGCGGTCGCATCCAGGTAGTCCGCGCTTTCGTTCCTGTACGGTAGTGCACTCCCGCTCTCGCGCCTCCGCTGTCCCGCTTGCGCTGTGCAGCGCCGACGCAGTGCTCAGTCCGCGGGCGGCATCGTTCTCGGACGGTCGCCTCCTGGTGGTCCGCGCTCCCGTACAGTACGGTAGTGCTGTCTCGCTCTCACGCGCCTCCGCTGTCCTGCTCACGCGGAACAGCGTCGAGGCTGCCGGTGAGTCACTTCTCGCTACAGCTCTTACCCCCCTGTCTTCGGGCAGGGAGGTCTGACTGACCTCCGCTTCATTTTCATTTTTCATTAATTTTCATTTCATTATCATTTTCATTATCATTTTTTTTTGTGTACTGTCATTTTTCTTGTGTTCTTGCATTACTATTACGTGCATAGTGTGTTGTAGTACGTCTCGCGTTCTAGTCCCTGTTCTACCGAGAGCAGGGACCCGTCCTCACCTTTACTTTACTTAGCTTAGCTTACTCGACCGAAATGGCCAACTCCAGCTTCACTGAGTCCCTAGCCGCCCTCATTACCCAATACGGGTTAAATGGCAATGAGACGGTCATCGCCGCCATCGCCACCATCGCCGCCCAGGCTCCCCTCCCTGCCCCTCAGGCACTCCTTCCACCGCCAGTAGTACAGTCATACCTCGAAACGAGGAACTCCTTTACCCCACTAGAATCTGCCCCCTTAGATATGGAGTACGCATGCTCCGAATCCTCGGCACCGACCTCCCGGAAGAGGCCCGCCACTACCTCAGGCTCCTGTTCATCGGAATCCTCTGACTCCGAAGGAACCGGGGAGTCCAACTTCACCACCGTCACCTCCAAGCGTAACGGAAAGCGCGCCGCGATAAAACGCACCCCCCCCCCCACTTCAGCGGCCCCTGCCGCTCCTTCAACCTCCGCAGCCCTCGACGCTGCCCCCGTCCCATTGATGTCACTAGACATCCCCACACCATCCAAAACAGCCTCTCGTTGTGCTCCAGTACTAGCGAAGAAGCAAGTCCCGCCCCCTGTCTTCCTAAGAGACAAGGCTAAGTTCACCCACTTGTCTAAGACCTGCTACGACGCAGGTATTAAATACGATCATGCCGTCACCCTCGGGGAGGCGATTAAAATCATCCCAAGCTCGATCGAGGACTTCCGCGCAATCACCCGGCTATTCACAGCCGAAAGGGTATCTTACCACACGTACGCTCTCCCTGAAGAGCGTAAAGTCAGGGCCGTCATCAGAGGCGTCCCATTCGAATTCTCTAACGAGGAAAATCCTTGAGGACCTTAAGTCCCAAGGTTTCCCCGTAGAAGCAGTGCACAAAATGCACAATAGAACGGGCAAGAGATACAACCTTGCCCTAGTAATCCTGACAAACGTGCCGGAGGCTAAAGCCATCTTCCGGCAGGTGCGCACAGTGTGCGGCCTGTCAAGGGTGAAGGTAGAGCCCCCACATAGGCCCGGTTTCCCGGCGCAGTGCCACCGCTGCCAACTTTATGGTCACGCGGCGGCCAACTGCTCCGCCCCACCCAGGTGCGTGAAGTGCCTGGAACCTCATAACACTAAAGAGTGTCCCCGGCCCAAAGACGCCGAATCCCCGCCCGCCTGTGTCCTGTGCAACCAGACAGGACACCCAGCGAACTACAAGGGTTGCCCACGCGCACCTCAACCTCGCCCCAGTAGGAAAGCTCCACTGCCGGTGAATGACCGCTCATTCCCGGCCCTCCAACAACGGCCCCGTCAGGGCCCTTCTCAGCCTATCCAGGGCTTCCCTCGACCCTCTCAGGGTCCCCTTAGGCCCCCTCAGGGTCCCCCTAGGCCCCCTCAGGGTCCCCCTAGGCTCCCTCAGGGTCCCCCTAGGCCCCCTCAGGGCATAATTCGGCCCCCTCCGGGCTTCTCCAAGCCAATACAGCCTCCAGTCTTTCCCTGGGGGCCCAAAAAGGCAGACCCACCGCGGACAACCTCGTACGCACACGAGGCAGAGCCCACACCCGACGACTACAACACGCTATATTCCGCGATTAGGAATATCGATGTTAGGGAGATCACCGTTATAGCACGCAAACTGCGCGCGGCGAAGTCCCCTCAAGAGCGTCTCCTCGCTCTTGCTGAACACAACGATCTTCTGCTAGCGTTGTAAGTTAAGTTAACTTAATTAACTTAACTCCAATGTCTGAGCAAATTAACCTACCAAGATCCCACGGTCGTATCAAACCTAAGGGTTTATCGCTTGTTTCATTTAATATTCGCGGCTTGCGAAATAACCTCCCAGAGCTTAAGCTCTTTCTTCGAAATCGTGAAGTCGATTTCCTCCTCCTACAGGAAACTAATCTCAAAGCTAAGGACACTAGAGGCCTTTCTATTAAAAACTTCTCTCTTCTTCGTAAGGACAGACCCGACCGCCGAGGTGGCGGAACGGCCATCTATTACAAGAAGACACTTCATTGCTCCCCCATTTCTACTCCGCAGCTTACCAGCATGGGAGCCACGGTATGCAGGCTAGCTATGACTGGACATCAGTCCATCCTCATAGCCTCCTGTTACATCCCTTCAGGAACCTATCCCCTCAAAAAAGATTTTGAGGCCATTTTATCCTTGGGCAATTCAGTCATTATGTTTGGAGACTTTAACTCCAAGCATACTGAATGGACATGCCGCACTACGTCCCCTAGTGGCAAGATACTGCTCGATATCACGCAGTCTCTTGATATTACCGTCCATAGTCCTCTCGGTGTTACTCACTTTCCCGATAACACCGATCACGCACCCGATGTATTAGATTTTGCGTTACTCCAAGGAGTTTCTCTCAACCTCAGAGCAATCGAGACACTAGACGATCTGGGTTCAGATCACCGACCGGTCTCCCTCATTCTTGGCCATCAGCCACCTCCCCCAACACACACGAAAACCTTCACTAACTGGAAGGGATTCAAGGAGTCCCTAGCTAAAGCTCTGGGCTCACAGGATTCTACCATCCCCATACCGTCGGACTTAGACAGTCCCGAAAAAATCGACACCGCGGTCGATTCACTCTCCACCCTTATTAAATTCTCCCTTAAGGAGAACGAAAGGGTCGTCCCGGTTGCTAACAATAGTGGGCTTCCCCTACATATTAGCAACCTATTAAAAGCCAAAAAAGCTGCTTTCCGGAGAGCAGCAAAATATCCCACCCCCGAATATAGGCGCGCGGCCATCGTCTTCAACGAAAACTCCGCTTCCGCCCCTCTGAATTTCAAGATCTCGAAAAGAGTAAGCTCATGGAGAATATCTCTCCATCTCACACAGCGTACTATCAGATGGCTAGAGCCCTCCGCATAGACGCTATCACCCACACTCCCCCTCTCTCCCGTCCCGACGGCACAGTTGCCATCGAGGACGAGGAAAAGGCTGAGTGCTTTGCAGATAGCATTGCCGCTCAATGTTCTCCTAGTTCTCAACCCGTCGACCCCTCACACGTCCAGGCAGTGGAGGATGAGGTCCGCCGCCGAAACTCACCCCCTACGGCCTCCGAACCTATCTCTGTGTCCAATGATGAGATTTCATCCTTCATCAAAGGACTTAAGCCTAAAAAGGCTCCGGGCGCGGATGGCATCTCCAACCAAGCCCTAAAACACTTTCCTGAGCAGGTGTTAACCTTTTTATCTATTATCTTCAACGCCTGCTTCAACCTTAGTAATTTTCCCACTACGTGGAAAGAGGCAACTGTGATTGGAATCCCCAAGCCAGCCAAGCTCTCAACCTCCCCTCCAGCCATCGCCCCATTAGCCTCCTCAAGGCAATGGGCAAGCTCTTCGAAAGAGTCATCCAAACTCGTATGAGGCGCTACCTGTTTCCCACAGACGGCGACCCTCTTATCATTCCCCATCAATTCGGCTTCCGAGCCAAACACTCATGTCCCCAACAAGTCCACCGCATTGTGGAATATATCCTCAGCGGTTTCTATCCTCGTCGTCATAAGACCATCGCGGTCTTTTTCGATATAGCTAAAGCTTTCGATAGAGTCTGGCACACAGGCCTCATCTACAAGCTCTATAAAATAGGTCTCCCCGATCGTCTAGTTCGTCTCGTGGCCTCCTATTTAAAACATCGTACCTTTCGTTTTAGACACGAAGGCACGCTCTCTTCACAGCGAACTATCAAGGCTGGTGTCCCTCAGGGCTCAGTACTTGCTCCTCTGCTGTACATCCTGTTCACCAACGACATTCCCATCCCGTCGAAAGGTGTTCAACTCTCCCTCTTCGCAGACGACACTGCTATCTACTGCAATGGTGTCTCACTACCCTTCATACGGAACAAGATTCAAAAGTCAGTTGATGACCTAGGAGCTTGGTTCAAAAAATGGCGCATCGATGTGAACCCGGAGAAGAGCTCCGCCGTTCATTTCGATTATAAACGACGCCGCCTCAAAAACACTCCACCAATACGTATGCTAGGGACCCCTGTCCCCTGGCATACGTCCGCCAAATATTTAGGTGTCACTCTAGACACAGGGCTCACTTTCAGGCCCCACGTCAAAAGAGTAACGCGTCACGCACGATTTTATCTGAGTAGGCTCAA